GCCTGGTCCAAGAGGGAGATAAGAAAAGTTTTGTCAAAAGCCTACCAACTTGTTCAAATCCTTTTCAATCATGGAGAAAACTCCATGGTGCTGAAATGCGCTTAATTGCACAGAGTTTGCATGTTTGTGATAGGAAAATTTTAATTAAATCTGATACCTGCAATCAACATCAGTTTTATTATTCATTTTAAGGAACTATATAATTGGAACTATAATATTTTTTTTGATCCTTCCCCATTTATTTATTCTTGTGAACCCCAGAGATCTGGGTAGACATGCATTATTAAAAGTTTCATTTATGCATGGCCTTAGTGTTATTATTACTTGGGTGATGCAATTTTTTGTTATGTCAGTGACAACATCAAATGTATTTAATAATCATAATAATCACCATGAATATTTAATAGAGCAGGTATTCACAGAAGGAAAGGATTAAATAGCAACAAAAAAGCTAAGTTTGTTTTTTATCAACCAAAATATATAATTAATTGTATTTAAAAATTTATTATTTTATTCCATTTTGTAATGGCATTAGCTTCAATAATTCTATTTCCTTAGTATTAATGATTTAATCAATATACAAGTGGTAGTCAATTTAAATGGCATTCATTTTTTACATGATCACATTACATTGGTAACACAATTGTGATGTTAAACAAACACTATTGATCCCTGAAATTTCTGGTAATACCAATGTTCACTTTGTCTGGTTTGTAGTATGCCCCATATTAAATGCTTTCATTTTTGGTTTCAATTACAGGCTAACATCTTGATTTTGGACTAATTGGATCCCTCCCACTTTTCATGCCACCAAAACTTTTAAAGGAACTAGTAAATAAATTGTGTGTGTCATGTGATCATTATTTCATTAGTATTATTATTCTAGAGGTCGGAACTGGTTAAAACAAGGCCTTATTTAAAAAAATATTTTTTTGATTTGTCAGCAGAGATTAATAATATTAACCGCACTACATATAAAAATTGTAATTTTAATATTATTATTTATTTTATAAAAAAATGTCAAGTATGATTTAAATTTTCTTTTAAATAATGAACAATTATTATGTCTACTCATCATAAATCGGCTGTTATCAATTTTAATCTCCATTCTCTTGTATATAGCTGATAATGTGAAGGCGCTTCATTTCGCCTACTGAAACAAAGATTTACAATTGAAGTGAGGCGTTTTGTCCAATGTTCGAATTTCGATCTGCCATAATTAAAATGAATTTGCAATGAAATTCAAATTAGCCAATCAGAATTTCATATACAAACACACCACCCCAAATTTTTAATTATTTCAAATACAACACGTACATTAAAAAAAAATTTTTCCCAATTATAAAAAAAAAAAATTGTTTTTATTCAACTAATTCTTTTATTTTTTATTTGTCTCAATGTTTCATATGCATTCTCCAAATTAAAAGCTTCAATATCGGATATATTTAATTTAATCATCAAATACTTATCCTTGTTTGAGAAAATATTCTTTCAACACTAACATTTGAAAGAAATGCTATTTTAAATAGAAGAGCTATATTTGGATAATTAAATGAAAAATTTCCAGAAATTATTAAAATGGAAAAAACTTTTTACTAAAAGCCATTCCCAAATGAATGACATTGCGGAATAATAAATTCTTATGCGGAATATAAATCGGAATAATTTTTAAAATAATTATCATTTTAATCATTTTGATTATTATTGATTATTTAACCAAATTTGTTTATTATTGTTGTTTGATTATTATTATTATTATACAAAATTCGTGTAACTTACTGCGCGCACAGATACCGCTGATTGAATTTCGGATACTGGTTAGCAACTTGGTTAGCAACGCACATTCCGCACACTGACTTTATACATTATCAACCGGGAAAACTCTATTGTATGTCACCTTCAAATCAAATGGTCAAACATATATATCCGAATCTTGCTTTTTATAATTATGCAGATAAAATCTGAAATTCAAATTTTACAGAAACCTCTGATTTTTTAAAATTTGCAAGCTGATAATTACTTCCAAGTGAAATAGATTCATCACATTCGCAAGTAACTAATAAATTCATGAAAATTAACAAATAAAGTAAATAATTTTTGACAAGGATCATAAGAAGTTTTTAAATTTAAAATTTTCAAATCATAGTGTTGGTGGTGTGACATTCAATAGAGTTTTCCCAATTTCTTATTATTAACATTATTAAGAGTGATTTACATTTAACTGATTGCCTTACAATCTGGGCATCCAGAAACAATAATCTTAATCACCAGTAATATAGCTATATAAAAACATAAAAAAAATCTTTCAATGGCGGTGGTGATTATTGAATTCTAGTTTTACCAATTAATTAATTAATGATCATTTGAAGATACTTTAACAATACACAATTCTAAAGAAAAGATGAAAAAATATTTAATGAAAAAAAGAAAGTAGAAAGATCACTTGACACTTTTTTAGAAAACTTCTCAACACATATTTTGCAGATGAAGAGGCGAGATTTTAATAAACTTCAAATATTTCATAATTCTATGGTTTCTCGTGTTAGACAATTATTTGTACAAATCAAGTGTATTAACAAAAAAATTTTTTATTCGATTCGCATTTTTTCAATTCAACATGATACTGGAATTTCAAATAAAGCCATGATGATAATGAACTCTTTCGTTAATGACATGTTTGAATGAAGTATCTAGAGAACCGGCATGCTCACATTATTATGAATGGTAACATGGATATTGTAATAGGCATATACAATTTATGGAGACAAACGCATTTGCATTCAAGGATGATATAAAAAAAAAATGTAATTTGTAAATTCAATGATCATTTGACTGAATAAAAAATCGGGCTCAATCCAGTCTCTCTGTCAAATAATTGTTTAAACCCTTCTTCCATAAGTTTTCAATTATGATTGCGGTGAATTGGGACCTACAGGTGCAGGTCAATATCCATGACCAACACCAGCCCTGATCATAGGTGTCAAATTTTCCTTTCACAAACATGTTGCTTGGTGCTTTCGCACAACCCATAACCATGTAATTTTTCTACAGGCAAGGCCACTGCCATATCCTCAATAGTTGTGTTGCTTTGACATCTACAATTAATTAATATTAATATTAATAATAACAAATATACTAACCATTTGTTTATTATCATGACAAGGAACCTTATATAATCACCCATCGCTATAGCAGTGTAAAAGACACAACAGCTTTACTCCATATCTCGATTTCGCTTAACTACAATATGAAAACAAATAACTCTGGTTATTAATAAATAGCATATCAAATAAAGCACCCATGTTTATTAAAGGATGACCAGATCTCTAAAAAAATTGGTTGTTTCTTTGTACAATGCTGTGAATATTTTTTTCGCATAGTAGCATATAATAGTAGTGTGCGAAATTCAAATAATAATATTCATTTGATTTTGATGTGTAACCATCTTAACGAAATTGTTTTGATTTCGTCGTTTTTAAACAATAACTTAAATTTCCCTTATTCTAACAATGCTTACTCATTTAAATCATATCCTACTGGATTGTTTGTTTTTTCTAATTTTTTTAAAGAACAAATTAAAAGTAAAGATCTCACAACTATTTATTTATTTATTTATTTATTTATAACTTTAACCAACTAACCGGTGACTTTGTTTCTTTTTTCTCTTCCTTAATTCTTATCAGAAAAGAAATAATATTGTGTTTGGGGACCTTTGCTCTAACGATATCTTGGTATATACAGAAAAAATGGGGAGAGGAACGAGTCACATCAAATAATCACGCAAGTGCGGAATATGCAATGCTTGTGCGTGGAAGAAGACTCGCTGAATTTCCGTGATAGTCAACATTCTTCAATTACTTTATCAAATTGTTGTTGCGCAGCACATATTTGAGCTTGGGATAACTCTCCTCTGTGATCAACTTCATGGCTTTTGTAGTTTAAAAATCCATAGCCGAACCTTGTTTTGGACGTGATAGCTCACCGGAACTCAACTTACCATATGTTAAAACATTCGAACCAGCATTAGCTGCTACCTACAACAACCATATTTCATGAATCATAAAAGTACTACATGGCTAGTTGGCGCTGAAGATGGCATGGTTCTTGATAAAGGTCCTAACAATAAGTGGCTTGAACATCGAAAAATGTTTTTTCAAAGCAATAAAACTAGTGCTCTGAAAAAATTGAAGATGAGAAATCCGTTTGGAGCAATGAAAACATGATTGATTGATATGTCTAGAGCACTAGTCAAACCAAGACTGAACCAAAAACTGGTCTCATAAATATTTAAAATCATCAATTATTCTCTTACCCTCATACACAATGTCATGATTATCATAATCATCATTGTTATCATGATTATCATTGTTGTATTAATAATCATTCTTTTTAATCATTTTTCTTTTATTTATATACAAAAAATAAATAATGAATAATTGTAAAATCTTAAAAATTTTAAACAAATTAAAATTATAATAATCTTCTTAGTTATATAATTTCACTTTATTAATAACAATGCAAAATTGTAATCAACATTGCAAAATCAATATTAATAGATTATTTAGACATACTTTTTTTTTTTAAATTAATAATCAAATAAAAAGATTTAAATATATTTTCCGCGAAAATCATCTGCGACCGCAACTGTTAATTGTCCTTTTTTAACAGTGAACATAAAATTATATTAATATATATAGAAAAATATAACGGACAAAATAAAAATAATGTATTTCAAATTGCAGGTTGATAACTTTTTCTATATATTAAAATTTAAAGTTTCCCAAATTTCATTTAGAGAAAACAAATCAAATAAATATATTGATATGATATTAATCTGAATCCAATTATAATAATAAACACAAACTGCGGTTTAACATGTAAATCATGGCAGTTTATAAGTTTTGTGACATGAACAACTTAAAAAATTTTTTTTATCAATCTTTATTTATTATTATTTGATTATAGAATTTTTTTTTTTTTTTTAAAAGCAAAAATTAATAATGAAATCTGAGAAATCTCATAATAGCAAAAAATCCTCATCCAAAAAAAGAAAACAAGATGATGATGGTGATACTGTAATATCTAATTCAACATCATCAACATCCTCAAAAGATAAATCATCATCAAAAAAAAAGAACTCAAAAAAAACAATTATTGATCTAGAAGAAGTAAACGATCAAAAATCGATAGGAATAATAGATGACGATAATGTCAATGATGTTAACGATAACGATGTAGTAGTTGGAGAAAAAAAAAATAAAAAAACAATTAAATCAACTAAAGTTAAAAAAAATATTGAAATCGACCCGTCTTTGTCAACATCTAATAATAATAACAATAATATTAATATTAAAACTAGTATAGACACTAATGGTGCTATTAGTAGTAGTAATGGTATTATTGCTAATGGTAATGGTAATGGTAATAGTAATGGGATTAACAGTAATAGCGATGTTGTTGTTGATATACCCGAAGAACTTAGATTTAGTTCATACAATATTTCGAAACAAACAATTGATTCATTGAAAAAACGCGGAATCGAATCCCTATTTCCTATTCAATCTGCGGCTTTTAATCCAATTTATAATGGAAAAGATGTTTTAGCTAGAGCAAAGGTTCTTAAATTTTATGAATTGATAATTTAGAGTTTTTTTTTTTTTTTTTTTGATGATTTACTTAAATTTTAAATTTTTTTAGACTGGAACCGGTAAAACATTAGCATTTGCATTACCAATAACTGAAGTCTTATTATCTTCCGCATCATCTTCTTCATCTTCATCTTCTTCTACATCCTTTTCAAAAAATAACCGTTTTAGCAAATATAATGGCCCAAAAGCAATGATAATAACACCAACGAGAGATTTAGCAAAACAAATTTCGGCCGAATTTGAATCAACAACAAACAACACCAACTTAAAAACTTTGTGTGTTTACGGTGGCGTACCTTATGATCATCAAACACAAAACTTACGCGAGGGATTGGTTGATATTTTAGTGGGTACGCCTGGTAGAATATTGGACCATATTAATTATGGTAATTTGAAATTATCGGAATTGAAATTTATTTGCCTTGACGAGGCTGATCAAATGTTGGATATTGGATTTGCAGAGTCGATAGAAACTGTTTTGCAACTTGTTAAGAAACAAAAACAAGAAAAGAAGAGTAATGAAGTTAATAATGACAATGATGATGATGACTATCAGACTTTGTTGTTTTCTGCTACAATACCTGATTGGGTAAAACAAACTGTTAAAAAATATTTGAAAAAAGATTATGAAAATATTAATTTAATAAAAGAATCCGACTCGAAAACAAATGGTAATTAGTCAATTAGTGATTAATTAAGTTATTTGGATAATTGAACATTTATTTAATTTTTTTTTTTTTGTTTCTTGTTTTTTCTAATCTAGAAAATATTCGTCATTTGGCAATTAGATCATCTTGGAATTCAAGGAAAGATATAATTGGTGATGTTGTGGCTTGTTATGCAGGTCAAGGTTCATGTGTAATATTCTGCAATACGAAAAATGATGCAAACGGTAACTACACAAATTCAATTACAAACACGCATATTAATGATCATATATATATATATATATGTATAATGATATATTTCATTAATGATTTATTTTATATCTAATATTTTCTCTATTCACGACATCTATATATAACTTTAGAACTTGCACTGAATGATAAACTAAAACAAGATGCTCAAGTATTACATGGTGACATTGCTCAATCACAACGTGAAACAACAATGAAGGGTTTTCGTGAGGGCAAGTTCAAGTGTATTATTTGCACTGATGTTTTGGCTAGAGGAATTGACATTCCAGAAGTTGGTAGGTGTAAAATACAAAATAATTTATTGATTAATAGCTCAATATATACAAGTATAATTGCATATTCGTAAATATTTTTATATTCATAAAATTCCTTGCTTTTAAAATAGATCTAGTGATAAATTGTGAACCACCAAAAGACGTAGAGACTTATGTACATAGATCAGGTAGAACAGCCAGAGCAGGTAGACAAGGCACAACCGTAACTTTTTTCAAGCCACAAGAAGAGCAATCTATTCAGAACATACAACGTCACTCCAAAATACAATTCCAAATAGTCGGTCCACCACAACCACAAGATATAATATTAGCGACAGCCAATGGAGCTATCAAGAATCTTCAGTCTGTCCAATCAAATGTCTTACCCTATTTCCATGAAACGGCCAAAAAGTTGGTCGAGGAACAAGGTGCAATCCAGGCATTGAGTGCTGCGTTGGCATATATGAGCGGCTACGCAAATGGTATCAAGAAACGATCGTTAATGTCAGCCGTCGAGGGATATACAACTTTAATTTTTAGATTTGCGTTTGAGATCAAACATGGTGGTTATGCGAGGAATATATTCAAGTCACAATTTTCTAATTTGTCAGAGAATAGTGTCAAGGCGTTCAGATTGACAAAGGATATGAGAGGTGTTGTTTGTGATATTGATAGCGATCAGTTGCATGTTGACGAGGAGGATGGGTGTTTGGTTATCGCTGGTAGGAAATGGTATAATAATGATAATACTATGTTGGAGATTGCTGAAAACTTGCCAGAATTGTTGGAAACTAATAATGGAGGTGGTTATGGTAGGAATAATAATGGCGGCGCGGGTAGAAATGGTTATAACAATAATAGAAATGGGTATGGTAATAATAGGAATGGTTACGGTAATAAGAATGGTTATAACAACAATAATGGTAAAAATCGCTTTAAACCATATTAATTAATAATATTATAACTATTTTTCTGTTAATTGAAAAAAATTAAGAATTAAAACAACTAAAATTTTTTTATAGAAAGAAATAAAAAAATTTTTTTTTGATTTCTCTCTACCTTATTAACGTCGAATTGTTTTTTGGTTTTTTCACTCTGATATACTTCAGGGTAATCTTGTTTTTTCAACAAAAAAACCAATTGAAGCTACTAATCAAAATGAATGCCACGTTTATTTAAATAATAATGAATGCCACGTTTATTTAATAATTAATGCATACCAGATTAACAACAATGAACGCCAGATTTACAATTATTGTTATTTTTGGTACTGATCAATTTATTTTATGGCTAATGCATATAAATATATTAGTAACGATTACGTCTTACATGAAGATCCATTGAATATAATAAATGATTTATTTGTTTGCTACCGCTTTCGGCTTTATTTTTTGACCATGTGCATGAAAACAGACAACGTGAAATCAAGATAATGACTTTTAATTTGAATTTGAATTATGTAATACATGGCGAATGGTATAAAAATAAATATCATGGTAAATTCAAGACTAATATCATATGATAATCTCTCCTTTAAAAAATTTTCTTTTTACTTCAGTTGTAAATATACCATGTCCAAACAAATTCACGAGTACTTTGATAGTAAATCCTCCAATTGGAACGTTCTTGGATTTCTGGAGGAATGCGACAATGAGCCATTTCAAAAAAATATTGATAAAAATATCTTAAAAATCTCGAGATTGTTGCTGGCTACGAACAGGGAAAAAGACAAGAGCAAGCAAAGATTCTTCTTTCTAGATATAGGCAGACAAGTAATACTCTTTTGTTAGAAATGCATGTGAGAAATGGTGGCGTGACAGGCAGGGATCTGCTCGGTTGCTTGTCATTCAAAGGCTGCTCGCCGAGCCACAAAACCACAGATGACCTGCTCGGTTGTCCGGTGTTCTGGTATTAAGAGTTATGTCTCCTTTGTTAACTGATCTTTTGGAGTAATATGACAGTAGTCGTTTCCAAACATATTGGTACGACACCTTTGCTGTACTTTGATACATGTGGTTCTTTTTCTTCAGTTAAATGTTGAATTTTCATAAATACCTAGAATCGAAAAAAATCTAAAGCAGCGCAACTAGGAAAAGACGCAAATCCATGCAGAATACGTAAAAGTTTGGAAACGAGTTTACTAAATTGGATGTTGGCGTAGAGTTACGCAATTATGGTATTGAATTGGTAACCGCATAAGTTGGCATCACTAAAACAGACAATGATGGATTGAAGTTTTGTGAGGATCGCACAGCATTAAAATAGAATTGAAGGATGTGATAGATGATTTCTACAATGAGATTCATATAAAAGAAAGATTTGGCCAAAATCTTCGTCATGGGAACCCAAGCAACCAGATATCTTTAGAACAGATGATGTCTTCTAATTCGTCAATCACTTTAATGTTTTCTTCTATTAATCTTCGTATATACCATAACTTTTCACACAACGATATGAAATTTTTTCTGCTTTGTGACAAGTAATTATTCATGAAGATTGGTAGATTCAAAGAAAATAATAATCGCACATTATGAAATGGTTTATACAACCTATCGTTTACATATACGTCCAATTTTGTGTCTAAATAAAAATTGATTAATTTAATAAACAATTTAAAAAAAAAGATAAAAAAGATTATTTAACTTACAATAAAAATGAAATAATATTATTTGTAACTCGTCAACAAGAGGTTCTAACTCGTCAGTATAATTTTCAAATTTTCTTAAAAAACTGATATTGTGACTAACAGCATCTTTGGAAAATATAGAAAGATGGTTAAAATCCTCATTTATATGTTTTTGATTGTTTTCCGCAAACAGTCCATTACTCGTCTCTAAATAAATAAGCTCATATTGATGATCATATTTTACATTTAACTTGTATCCAAAAAAATCTGCAAATCTAACGGGACCATCGTCTTTACCATTTCTACATTGTGTTGCTTGGCTTTTAGAACCAATTCAAACAAAGTAAAATTTACCAATCTATCAACAAGATCGTGCATATGTGTTCTTTCATTAATATTTTGTTTACTTTGGTAAGCATTGTTCATCATCCAAATTCTTTTCCTATAACATTTTTTTAGGTTAAGAAGATAATTAAAAATTATGTTCTTTTTTATAACAAAATCATGTATGCATGTTCTTTCATTGATATTTTGTTTACTTTGGTAAGTATTGTTCATCCAAATTCTTTTCCGATTGCTTTTTTTAAGTTAAAAATTACGTTCTCACTTACATTTTGAGCATCATACCCAACAGTTCATGATAAAAGCTTTGTTCAAGTCCAACAGAAAGTGGAACTTCAACTTTGTTGTATTTAAAAAAATTATTAATAAATGCACAAGTATCCTCTGACATTTCAACATATTTTACGATCTTGGTTTTCTTAATCAGTCCAACTTTGATTAAATTGTTGTAGAAGATTGGGAACTTTCTTTTGAGTTCTATTTCGTTAATGATCCCATTCGAGATTAAATCTTCGGGTTTCAATTCTAATTGGTCGATATTATTTGAAACAAACTGAGGAACTCTGTGCATTTCTGGATATTCACATGAAATCTAAATAAATAGATTATAAATAATTTAAATTTTTTGATTGATTTAGGTAAACCAAATGAATAACCCACCGCCTTTATTTTCTCTTTAGTCCTTTCAAACTCAAGATCTGATGACTAGGGTTTGTATTCACGGATACCGTAAGGAGGTCACACAGGGTTACACGCTATTAAAATCAAGTGTTTTTAAGGGGTTTTTTGCTGATTTATTAGTGTGTAATTATTTTCTCATGAAAAAAATGAAACGACTAAATGAGAATATCCCAGTTTGCAGAAGCAAAAGAATTGTCACAGTTTCTTCAAAATCGATTGTAGATTATTCAGATAGTAGTAATTATGAAGGTTTATACATTCTGTTAGACAGTAAGTGTAAGCAGTCTGTTTTTTTCTGTGCTCAGACATGATTCATTTACTGTTATTCCTTTTCATTCTCAGCACCTGAGTTGTTGTCAAAGTCTGCTTCGTCATTTAACCTTGAAGACACAAAAGCTTTGAATGTGAAATTTGCTGGCTCAGGAAATCAAAACAGAGTGATTCCTGGTCTTGGTGACGTGAATGGTTAGCATCTTATCCTAATATCATAATTTTATTGATAACACACATACACACATATTTGTTACTTTTGCAGATACAGAAATTCCTGCCAAGTTACTTCTTCCCAACATCTCAGAAATGGATTTTGGAATTAATGTAAATAGGATTAAGGATCTCAAACTGTCTAATGATGCCAAATCCTTCTTCTATCAAATGTCAAAAATGGTAAAAAATGAAGGTGTTGTCATAGGCACCTCTGAGGCAAAAACTGATACTGTTGTTACAACAATTTTGCATAGTCTGGCAATAGTATGGCCACTTAACCTCTTGTAAGTTAACCTTCTTTTATCTTCTAAAAATTATGTATAATAATGTTTGCTAACCATTGCTCTCTATCATAGTCAACACCCTTTACTTTTTTTTAACATTAATGAACATAAAGTCAAAGCTGATCCAGAATTCACTATCAAATCACTTGATATTAATATTATCATTGTAGAAGTATGATCTATAAATCATTTATTTCAGTTTTAACTATATTTATGTCAATTTAACTTTATTATAATATTGCAGCACTTAAAGAATATATCAGTTGACAATGGTTGTGGTGAACCACAGATTGCTGCAGAACTTTTGGCAGCTGCATATGAAAACCGTCAAAGGAATGTTCTGGGAGATCAAGTGCTTTTTGCAGTTCGGTTCATTTGTTCTTATGTAACATTTTATTGCTTTGAAGTCAGTAATAATTACTTTAGAGAATTGGCTATTGGTTTGCCAGTTAATGAACATATTGTCATGACACGCTGGCCAGTGCAAAATACTAAGACTTCAGGTATTGACCTAAAAACTGCTGATGGACGTCATCAAGTACTTCGTTGTCTTATTGCATTATGTAATCATGCCAAGAATCATAGTGTAGAATAAAACAACTTATTAATAGTAATATTATAAACTAATAACTAATGTAAAATAGTAAATTATAAATCACGGGAAACGAACATATAAATCGGAAATGATTTACATGTATCACGAAGTGAAAA